GTCCTTTCCAGGCGGGAATCTGGGACACAATCATGAAGCTGTGTGTCTCCTTCTCACATCACCTCCAGTGGCACTGCAGCAAGCAGAAGAAAACAGCCAGAGCTGCAGGTCCCTGGGGATGTGTGCAGAGTTCCTGACTGACAGCTAAACAAATGTAACCTCTGCACTGGGGTATGGAGTAGCTTGGTTGAGGAATGTGGGAAATAACTCGTACCAGATGCCAAAAAGGCATTTCCAGAGAAGTCCTATTAATTATATAGTTGTACTTTAAGCAGCTGTATTGCTTCTTTTCCTGATCTCCTTCTCAGTGCTGGAGCAGAATGAATTCCTGTGGATTAGCTTGTTCATAGGTAATCCTATTTAGTGGGTATCTGTGCTGCAGGGCAGTCTTGGCTTCCCACCCATTCACTCAGGAATGTTTATATTTAGCTATTTTTTGGAAACAGAGCTCCAGCTGCAGCACACAGCAATTACTTCGGATGGATCTTGTTTTTCCTCAGGACATGTTGTTTTCTTGGTGGAGACTGAACAGTCTCACTAGAAATATGTCACTTTGCCCAAACAGAGTTTTGAAGAAAAGTATGTTTAACTAGTATAGCTCCAGAGCTACGTTAGAGCTTGATGAGACTTGCAGCCATCCCACATTCTTCTTTTCATTCCTTTGGGATGCATATTACTGTTATTAAAAATTGATTTGTAAATACCAGACGTGTTCTAGGGCAATTTTAGTAACCAAAAACTCTGATGAGAAAAGAAACGTCAAGGTGTCTTAGTACATTTTGCCTCTCTACCGTCTTAATGTTGAGATGTTTCTTCGCTCTCTTGTAGGATGGTGTTAAATACTATTAAATTAATGGACATGAGTCTCTCTTCCATTCCAGAAGTGGGTGAAAATCAGGTAACAAAGCAGAGATCCCTATGGAGATATTTTCTAGGTGCAGATTTCAATTGCTTTGGCACCTGCTGTTCTGAAGGGCTTGCAGCAAGCTCTTGATGGAGAATTGATGAAAGGAACCTGTCAGTTTTTATGAGTTTTGGGATCTTCATTTTTGTCCTTTGACATTCTTTGCAGAGCTGTCAAAAAACACTGTCCCCTCAGTGATGGCTATAGGACTGCTACAGTCATTTCTTGGATCCAGGTGTGTGACTGGATGAAATATCACCAAAAAGAGACACTTTGGAAGATCCTGCTCTCGAAAAGGACTTGGAAGAAGTTGTAGTGATGTGAACCAAGGGGCTCTCTGCTTTAGTTTTCCAAATGTAGATTCTGTCCCAGCGAAGAACACTGTGTGGCCATGCAGAATGCAAGCAGTTCTTGCATTCCCAAGGAGGCTGGAAGGAAACTGGCCCTATGACTGTCCAAAGATTATCCTCTAGCAACGATTCCAGGTGAAAGGTGATTAAAACCCCCAAGCTCACCTTTACTGAGTATTTTACACTTATGTTGTAGAAATAAAGGTGCTTCATCTATTATATTGAAATAACAAATGTACAAGACCCGAACATGCTCCAGAAATAGCTCACTCTGCTCTGTGTCCCGCACTCCTCGCTGCTGCTCCCAAACCTTGTGACAGGGAGTTTGCTGCTGCAGACTTCCCATGCCTCCTGCTCCTCCAGGAAGACTGCAGCAGGCTGCACAGTCCCCTTGGGACTTCAAGGGGAAGTGTTTCCTGTCGGGGACAGGATAATACCCCTTGACATACACAACCCTTTCCTCTGGCCCCCCTGCCCAAGGAGCGTCTGCTCATAAACACAGACGGCGGAGAGTCAGGTTTGTTTTTAAACAGTTAACAGAACAAAGGTGGCTGGAGGTCAAATTCTAAACCCTTCAGAGACACATTATTTGCTTCATAGTCTGTATTAGAGAGCAGCAGTACCTCCCAGGCACAGAACTATACTGATAATATTGCTGAATTGGATCAAATCTACTTAGTATCTGTTATCAGTTTCAACTAAGAGAACAGTGTTGCAATTAAAGGCTATAAAGTAAATTGAACATCACACTTGCTTTATAGAAATAATTGCTAGAATCTTGGTGGTACCTTACCTCTTCTCTTCAAGAACTCAATAAGGGAGGGCAGTGAAGGCATTTGGGCTGAGCATCACCGAAGATCAAGTCCGGTGCTGTAAAATAACAGAAAATTCAGTGGGGCCCGAAGTTGACCCAATGGAATGCTATTTTATCTATTGCTACAGTATCTTTCTTGGGAGCTGATATATTCCTGCCTTCTCATTTAAAATCCTGCAACAGAAGCATTATGATACAAAGAAATCTGAGTTGGTTACAAAACAGCTGCAACATTTCAACAGTGTAATTTAAAAATTAGGAAAAGCCATCACTATGATTCACGACAGCAAACCAGGAAAGCGATTTGCTTCATGTACCTTTTTTCCCCCTTCTTATATCGTCATATCTGCTCCACTGTAAAAAGTCAGATGGGTTATTCTCCTCCTAAGAAAAACCAGATGCCCTCTTTCTGCCAACAGGCACTTTTCTGGAAGCAGGGAATCAATCTGTTTACATGTAATGAAAACATTCTACAGATCCATCAAATAAAGTACTCCAACATCATTAATAACTGACTACTGTTAATAAAACACCACAAGGAAAGATAATGTAAAACAGTTCTAAATCATTACTAACACATGCAAGATTCTTATACTATATTTCTTAATATTCTGGTTGCTCCCACAGACAAATTCCAAACCCTGGGACTCTGCTTCCTACAAATACACAGTATGTAGTGCACAGGTAGCAATAATTTGCAGCAAAAATAACAAAATAATGCCAAAGCAACAAAAGTGCTGTAGAATCTGGCAGAATGGATGCAAACAATGTGCTTTGGGCCTTGGATTTACCAGAATCCCCTGTGTCTTCATGCACGTGTGCTTCTATTGCTCTGCTTTCCACAAAAGGGAGATTCCAGGCCATTTAATCATAAATTCCTGGGATGACTCTCTCTCCTTGTTTGTGGGATTTGTTTTCTAATTGTGTTTACATTCTTGTGTGTGGGTTGGGAATTTAGGTTTGTTTGTGATGAAACATCAAAGTTGAGTCCCCAGTTAACACTGTGCAGTCATATATTCCTTGCACCTTCCCACAAGAGGACGACAGCAACACACACAGTTACCAAGTTTTATGCAACATCAATGGGATTAAACTAGTCTATAAACCTTTGTGTGATGTGATTTTGCTTTCTCATTCAATTTCCCTGCTGTTATTTTTTTTGTTGTTTGCTTATTGAATTTTATGTTCCTTTTTCCCATTTTACAAAAAAAAAAAAAAACTTTCTAAATCTTCATGTGAAATAAAAATTATTTTTAATATTCTATAAACAGCCACACATATTTATTTGATACTTTTGATTCTGTTTGTCAGAAAGCAGCATTTTAATCCTGGCACATGCATTGCACAGGTCTGTGGCCCATAATCTTTCCTCACACAGTGGTTACTGTACAAATCACATGCAGGAAATTATCAGCAGTTAGAGCTGATAAAAGCTCAAACTGAGATTGCTGTACTTTGTCACAGAGTCTTTTCAGTTAGCAAAGGCTACACAAGTAATTCAGCAGAACTGCAAGTAAATAAAAACTCCTAGAGTTCTGCAGAAGAATTTTGTTGTTTCAAAATCGATAGGGTGAAGACCATAAGAGTGGGGGCTTTGTGAGAGAAGACACAGCTGACAGAGATTCTCAACAACATAAGGTTAATCAAAGCTACCATTTGAGAGTTACCCCAGAAACTGTTTCTCCCCCAAATGTTGAGATGTTTTCCAAGCAAAATATTTATATCTGAAAGTGCCACGCAGATTTACACAACACATTAACTGCTAGCACAACAATCCAGTGGAGAAATCCGTTTTATGCTTTTCACACTGAATATTCAGCTCTGGTTTGGGATCCTTTTTCACCAGGATCAGGCTCATATTTAACCACTTTGCTCTTGTGACTGTTTCCTTCTGTATCAGCAGGGAAGAATCTCATCCATCCATTCCACCTCTGAATTAGAAACCAGACTGAGGAACTGATCTATCTGGCTTTAAAAATACATGCACCTATTTTAAAAGTGTTTAAGTATTTTACATAAAATATCTTTATAAAGATTCTCACCTGGTTCATTTTTCAGTGTCCCGATGTGGTTCCCAGTGCACCACACACAGCTGAGGGCTGGCGTGCTGTGTAACAAGGAAGAACAAGGAGTAAGTAGGAACCAGTAACAGAGCAAAGGCTTTGTGTCATCAAGCCACAGCCTTATTTACAACGTGGCTGCTTTTGCCTGGACTAAACCAGAAATTAATTTCAGTTCCTTACATTTGTGTTTGCTCTGCAGGAGAACAGTGTCCTCCATGAATCCATTTAGTAACCATGACTCAGTGCCATTCCTTTATTGCAAAACCAAACCAAAATTCCAGCATACTTATACAATAAACTTTCACCATATCTTAATTATGGATGGACTCACTGTCCATTCAGAAAAACAGGTCAGCACACAGGATAAAAATCTCCAGCGAGTGCTAACTAGACAGAATTCCTAATTTTAAAGGAATTCCCCCGGGGTTTGTCTCTGATGCCCCAAGTTCACCCACGCATTTCCTGTCCTCACCGAGGAGCTGCAGGCTGCATGGAGAAGAGTGCTTCTGTGCTAAGGTTTAAACCTCTCCCCTCAGGAGACCTCCAGCTCCACGGAGCTCAGCTTAAGCTATGCCTGTTTACACACAAGACTATTCAATATCAATGACTTCTGGCTTAGTGAATCCAGGCTGTGGTGTGAAGTTGGCTGCCAGTGCAGACACAGCCTGATGTCTCTGCACCAGGCTCTCGTGCTCATTTCTGAGCTGGCAATGCACTTCCAGCTTTATTCCTAAAATATTTTTCATTCAGAATGTTTAATAGATGTTATCCATTCTCCTCAGCCTTGGTGCTTCAGAAGAAATACTATCAAACATTTCATTTAGTCTAAGCAAAATCGATGGGTTTGCACAAGTGGATCACATTTCTTAGTCCAGTGGTAACACGGATCTTGTGGAGCAAAGATGGATTGCTGGTGTGACTCAGTTTCAGTGGATTTCCAAAAATGGTCTAAATGAAAAGGAGAAAGGGCCTTGTTGCATTTTTGGTGGTACAGTCTCCCTCACTCACTAACAAGCACAGCTCACAGCCCCTCCTTGGGACACTTCCACAGACAAAACCAGGGAACAGACAGAATTACAGACAAATCCAGAAAGATTACATGGGAAATTTAGCACAAAATGGATAAACTGAAATAAAATCATAGAATGGTTTATGCTGGAAAGGACCTTAAACATCATCTAGTTCCAGTCCCCAAATAAAAGATGATCTCTTCTCTCTGTACCCATATTTCCTGAATATTCTTGAATAACACAAATCCCCAGCCCTGCTGAAGCAGAGAAGGTGTTTTCAGGGCATAGAAAGCACTTCCTTCTCTCTCCATTTAGGTCTGTATCAGCAACTTTGGGACATTCCCAAATGATCAAATGCAGACAGGTCTGTGCTAGTTCCACACATACTCTTAATGTACAAAGGTTTCCTTCTTAGATCTTCCTCTACATGATGGTTTAAAGTTCATTTTTTTTTCTTTATTGGCTGAAACATCGTCCTCTTTATTACCTCAGGATGTTCTCATCTGCAGAAAGGGCATTTCCAAGGCTGTGTGATGAATCAGAGAAGGCAATTATAACCCAGAAAATATGATGGGGTGAATTTTGGGGGGTTGATCTCTTCCTTTGGGAGGAATTCCTACCTTGGATGTAGTGCTAACATAGCTTGAGAACTTTTAAATGCCACTGGTTTGAAGCATTAGAGTTACAGGGAGCTGCCTCAGTGTGAACACTGGAACCTGGACCTGTTTAGAGTTTATAGAAACAATGGGGAAATCAGCACTCCCTTGTATCCAGTGCCATCCCCTCCCTGGCTCTTAAAAAGCATCACGAGGTGCCCCGTGGCCCCACAGCACCAGGGCTGGCAGTGGGCTCACTCATTTCCTAAACTTTTACGGTTTGCCTTGACAACAAATTAAATGCAGCAGAATCCTTCCCAATTGCCAGTACTTCCATTTATTGTCCAGAAGAATGGGCAGAATGTAAGGGCAAAAAATAATTTCCCCCCAAATTCTGTGGGTTTTCAGCCAGCTGAGCTACTATGTGCTCCTTGCACTCAGAACAGCACTAGGTTTACTCTCTATATTCTATTTTACAGTTTTTTTTTTCCCAGGGCAGAGACCTAAGAACACGGGTAGAAGGAAAGAGCCTTCTACACTTCACAGGGTAGGGGGCTGAGCAGAATCACCCCAGGCAGCAAGGGGACAGGGAACAGCCTCAGGGGAGCGGGATTGCCCCAAGGGGAGCAGGGAATGCCCTCAGGGCAGCAGAGTTGACCTGAGAGGAGTGGAAATACCCTGAGGGGAGCAGGAATGCCCCTGAAGGCAGCGATATTGCCCTGAGGGAAATGGAAACACTCCTGAGGGGAGTGAGGTTCCTCTGAGGGGAGCAGTCAATGCCCTGAGGGCAGTTGGAATGTTATGAGGGGAGCAGGATTCACCTGAGGGGAGCAGGAATGCCCCGAAGGGAGAGGGATTCCTCTGAGGGTGGTGGGAATCACCCTGAGGGGAGTAGGAATTACCTGGTTGGAGCAGGAGTGCTGTGAGGGGAACGGGAACACTTCTGAGGGGAGCTGGAAATGCCTGAGGAGAATGGGAATGCCCTGAGGGGAGCAGGAGTGCCTCAAAGGCAGCGGGAATGCCCTCAGGGCGGCTGGAATACCCTGAGGGTGGCGGGAGTGCTCTCAGG